TCCCCAATGCAAACCCCTTCAGACATTCCTAGTCTGTAGGGCCTTATCAATGGGAAAAGCAGATGACTGCTTGAGTCTTGTGATTGGAATCCTGTCAGCCAGTCATGCAACTCTGAATTCAGTGTATTCTTTTGATGAAGGACAGGCACGAGGTCCTGCAGCAAAGGGAGCAGGTGAGAGGCTGGGACCTGCCTCTGCCTCTTAGTTGGTCTCAGTTGCTGCTGCACTTGGAGGTGTATCGCAGGCCATGATAGCATCTTGGCTTTGAAGGCAGAGACTGGGAGGGCTGTCCTTGGGGACCCTCTGGCCAGTGGCGAGTAGAGCATCTTAACATTCTTGCCTCTCAATGTTAGCTGGGATTATGCCTGAGACCTCTCCTCCTCTGGTGGTTGAATACCATGAAGAATAGGACACAGGAGCCCTTGGTTCAAGCACTGGCTAGATGCTCACATAATGCCATGGAGGCTTCTCATTGGCTCTAAGAGCTGCTTAGCCAAAAAGACATTGAAGCCAGTGCCCTTCCTTTATCAACACGAGTCCAGTTGAACAAGTGAAGCTCTGTCGAACTTCCCTTTGCTACATTTCCTTGGGCCTCCTGTTCTCTTCAGTTCTCTGATGCTCTTTTCCAGACCATTCTTCTGGTCTCATGGCTTCTGTAGAGACATGAAGCAAATACATGCGTGTTTTTCCTGCATCTAGGCCTCTACCCAGCTCTTGAGCCTAACCGCAGATCCTCCGTGGCTCCCTAAGTGTCCTGCAAATTTACAGCCAGGTGTCCATCCATTGTGTCCCAGTCGACACTGTCACCTGTACACATCACCCCTCTTGTTGCACCTGTGTGGACCCCTCTCTGATGCTGCTGACGTGGGCCCCCTTTATTTCCACTGTTACTACTATTCCCTGGTTCACACGCTGCTCACTTTCGGCTCAGCTACTGTTTTGTTGAAAATCATCTATTTCTGTGGAGTCCTCACCAAGTCCTTGGGAGATATGTATGGTGAAGAAATTATGCAGGAATCTGAAATTTTTTTCTTGCACCAAAACAAACTGATTCGTAATTTCAATTTTGTGCACTTGTGAAGAGGTACCCTTGCATTTGTATAATAATAGAAACAAAATTTTCCTATAGCCCAAGGGCTCTCCTTGTAGCTCTCACCAAGCGGGGTGGAACAGGGTTGATGCTTGGGTTGTGGCTGGTGTGTGGGCTTCTTTCTCTCTCTTCTAGGAGAACCCTGCCTATCTCCTCCACCATTCCTGCTTGCAGTGACCTCAGGGTACCCTGATGCTAGGACCTCAGTGAGCATGGCGTGAAAACCACCTGCCCCTCGGTGATGGGGGATTGCTGAGGCCTCCCAAGCCGACACCTTGCTCCTTCTTCATCTGGAGTTGTTTCTGGAAGATCCAGTGCTGACTAGCCTTAGAATCCCTTTGATCACCTGTCATAGTTCACAAAACAGAGCCCCGACAACTCTGGTGCTACGTTCCATCGGACTCTAGATTACTGTTTTTGCTTCGCCTCCCTCCACTCTCACCCTGTTCTGTGGTCTTGCAAGTATTCTTGGAATTCCCCAGCTCTGTGGGTACCGGAAGCTGACCCTCCTGCAGAAATCCCTTTGCTGTGGTTGTCAGTCTCCACTCCAGCTGGGTGTGGAACCTTCCCTTCTTTATTATTATTATTTTTTTTAAATTGAAAGGCAGATTTTTACGGAGGATAGAGAGATCTTCCATCCATTAATTCACTCCCCGAATGGCCATAACTGCTGAGCAGGGCTAGACCAGAGCCAAAAGCCAGTAGCCTCTTCTAGGTCTCCAGTGAGGGGTACAGGGTCCCAAGCAGTTGGGCTTTCTGCTGTTTTCTCATGCACATTAGCAGGGAGCTGGACAGGAAGTGGAGCACCTGAAACTCAAACTCACACCCATGTGGGATGCCAACACTGCAGGAGGCGGCTTAACCTGAGGCTGGTACCCATGAAACCTCTGCAACCTCCCTTCTTAACACATACACTTTCTTCTTTCTCACTCCCTACTCCTTCATGATACTATCTGCATCTTTAAAAAATATAATTGTAATGAGCTGATTGCATTATAGGCACATTAAGGGCAGAGACAATGTCCTACTTCAGATACCCTCTCCTTACCCAATATGTAGCAGGTATCCCTGCTCTCTTTGTTTAGTAGACATACAGCTGAATGAGCAAATAAATTTGATAAGCCTTTTAAAGGTAGCATAGGCAGGGTACAAGGGCATTGTTTGCTTCCCCTTTCACTGTTTCATTAGTCTTATTTTTGTGTAATTATTTATTTAAAAGAGAAACAAGGAGATCCTTCATTTGCTGATTTGACTGCACAAAACCTATAGTCGCTGAAGCCAGGACAAGAAGTTCAGTCTGGGTCTCCCACATGGGTATCAAAGACCTGTTGCTTCTCTGGAGGTCGAGCTGGAGCTCAAATCCAGGCAATCTAATATCTTAAATAGTGCCAGGCTGAGGGGTTTTGTGTTTCAGCCTTGATGGATGCATCAGTCAGGATGAGCAAACAGAGGGTGGTTCTGAGAACAGTGTGGTCTGATTCCCTGTGAGTGGCTCCTTTCCCCACACCACAGCTTGCTGTGTCAGACACAATCTCTGACCCACAGCCGGAGCCACTTCAGGAGCCCGCCCAGCACCCTGCCAACAAGCCCAGGGCAAACTCAGGTGGCTGGCTTCCTGCCCACCTCGCTTTTGACATTCCATTCCCACCTCTATCCGCAGTTTTCTTGAGTGGGCCCTGGTTGTCTTTTTGAAGTCTAAGACCTTGTTTGGCATCCTGACCTGGCGCTGCAACTTGTTGGTGGTCCCTACTGCCGAAGTGGTGACTGGTACTTTGCTCTCTGTTTTTGGAGAGTTGCTCAGTGCCAATTTCTTAGGTTTGTGGCATCTTGACATTTACCATCAGATCTTATCTCTCCTTCTCAGAGGCTGTCTAGCTCCGCAGGTGCCTTTCTGGATGTCTTCCGCCTGTTCTTGCTGGCCGGGCTCCTGTGTCACAGCTGCAGAAACCCTTGGGATGGTCTAGCTATGTCCCAGAGAATGGCATTGCTTACTGTCCAGAAGAATAAGCCCCAGGGCTTCGAGTGATCCTTGGCACCTCCCACCACCTCCTCCTTCCCGTGCCCTTCCAGTACATCACCAATAACTGGGTTTTATCTTTTCAACATCCCTGAATAGTGCTATTCTCCTAAAGAGAATAGCTTGGCCGCTGTTATTCTGATCCAGATGCCTCTCATAGGAGTTACTCAATTTGGTTTTGATGTACCTCCCACACCTGCTCCTGACCCCTCTGTAGCAGTGTCCACACTTTAACCAGGTGGACAATGTTTAAAGACTGCTGATGTTACATCACAGCCCTTTTCAAACCCTTCTAACCTGTGGGTTGCTTTTGACAACAAGGATCATGATGGAGGATGGGAGAGGCATCTAGCCTGAGCTGCCTCCCACCCTAGCTTCTTTTTCTGTGTCCAAAGTCCCTTTTTTTGCACCTGATTTTCTCTTTCCCTGGGCCTTGCATTCCTTGGTCCTCCTCTCTGATCTTTTTTTTTTTGGTAACATTTATTAATTTATTTGAAAATCGGAGTTGGAGGCAGAGAAAGGGAGCTTTCTTTCATCTGATAGTTCATTTGACAAACAGCTGCATTGGCTGGGGCTGGGCCAGGCCAGAGTAGGAGCCTGAAGCCCCATCCTGCTCTCCCATGAGGTTGCATAGACTCAGACCCTTGGGACCATCTTAGGCTGCTTTCTTAGGTGAGTTATCAGGGAGTTGGAGCACAAGTGGTATAGCATGGACTTGAGGCAGCTCCCATGTGGGATGCCTACAATGCTGGTGTTGAGTTAACCCCTTAAACCACAATTCCTCCCCTTCCCCTCAGTTCTTTCAACTTGAAACTCAAACACCCTTTAATCCCATTGCCCAAATGATGGCCAGCTCCAGAAGATTTTCCATCTGCATCTTTTCCCTAACACTCACAACTGACTCTTTCCTTATCACACTCATCATGGGTTTTTATTGTACAGTCCTTCCATCATGCATGAGTCCAGGTCCCATATGAGACTTCAGTCAGGGGGCTGCTTTGCTCTTGTCTTACTGAACCGTGTGATTAATGTGTAATCAGTGGTCCGCACATATTATTACATGATGTGAGTAGCCTGAGTGTGCCCACCTGTTCTGTCCTATAGACGTTAACTGGGGCTGTGTATGCGCATGTTCTATTATAAAGGACCAAGCCTGCTCCTCCTACTGCATGGCACATGAAGTGTTGGCAGGGGATGTATTGTGGCTCCAGTAGCACAGTTGGTTAGCGTGCGGTTCTTATAAGAATGGGGATGTGATATTTATTACTTCCGTTTCTTGGTGGAAGCAGAATTCTGTAGAAGGTGATGCTGTGGAAAGGATTGATCATTTTCACTGGTTTAAACAGTGGTGGAAGGCACTGCTTGGGGTAGGTAGCTATGACCCAACACTGTGCTGCATGTTTCCTGTGCCCTTCCTACTCACTGTCTCCTTTTCTCACCTGAGGCCTCAGCCCACCCTGCCCTGCGGATTGCCTTTCTTGCCTTAGTGGCTGGGGTCCTCCGTGCTGAATTTTATGTTTAACTTAAGTGTCACCTACACCCAGGTGTCTGTTCCTACCTGTTTCATGTGCTTTTTAAAGTGACCTTTTGTGGGTTTGCTTGGTTGATTGTCCTCTCGCATTATGTTTAATTATGCAGAGGGGTTTTCAGAAAGTTCATGGAAGATGCTTATTAGGAAAAAGCTATGCATGGGTTGAAAAAATGTCTTGTGGCCAAATAAGTTTATTTTTGACTCATTTTTCTTCGCAGATACTCTGGTATCTATCTAATGCATTGTATAGGATATTGCATGTATTTTTCATTTGTACTGCGTGTTGCATGCAGAGGATGCGTAGTCCATTGTTTATGTATATATTACAAAGCCCGCCTCATTCCTTCTGTTTGATACCACAGTGGCAACAATCCGTATTCTTCATTTGGAACAACTTTAGCAAGGGATGATGAGAAGAACTTGTGGAGTCTGCCTCATGACGCATCGCACACAGAGGCTGACGACGACAGAATCCTGTACAACTTGATAGTCATTCGTAATCAGCAGGTCAAGGACTCCGAGGTAAACACTTCTCTTTTTTTCTATGTTCAATATATTTTTAAGCACCTTTCCTAAATAAACACACACACATGCACAATTTATTTGAAAGGCAGAGAGGAAGGGAGGAAAGGAAGAGAGAAAAAGAGACGGAGAGAGAGAGCCCTTTTTTTGTTATTGGAAAGTCAGATATACAGAGAGCAGGAGAGACAGACAGAAAAATTTTCTGTCTGCTGATTCACTCAACAAGTGGCCGCAATGGCCAGAGCTGTGCTGATTTGAAGCTGGGAGTCCAGAGACACTTCCAGCTCTCCCATGCGGCAGTAGGGTCCCAAGGCTTTGGGCTGTCCTCAACTGCTTTCCCAGGCCACAAGCGGAGAGTTGGATGAGAAGTGGGGTGGCCAGGCTTAGAATTGGCACCTACATGGGATCCTGGCATGTGCAAGGCAAGGACTTTAGCCACTAGGCTACAATGCTGGGCCCTGAGAGAGAGAGACCTTCCATCTGCTAATTCGCTTCCCAAATGCTTGCAACATCCAGGGGCAGGCTAGGCAAAATCTGGGAACTGAAATTCCTCTGACTCTCCCAGGGAGGTGGCAGGGACTCCAGTATTTGGAGCATCATTTGCTGCCTGTCAGGTGTATTATCAGGTAGCTGGATCAGAAACAGGTGGGACTGGATGCAGCATCAAGTGGCAGGTTAACTTGCTGCGCCGCAGTGCCTGCCTGTGCCAAGCACCTTTGAACATTCTGCTATTTGCAGAGAACTGTGGGGAGAACAGCTGGAAAGTGAATGAAGGATGAGCTGTTTGAAATAAAGGACTGTGTGTGAGCTGCGTGTGTTATGACTCCTTGCTGATTATGGCTAGTTTTGATAGATTGGCCTGAAAGCCAATTAAGACTCCTCTCTGATTCTTACCTCAGTGACACAAGTTCTGTACAAGGTGATACTGTGGAAAGGATTGGTCATTTTCACTGGTTTAAGCAGTTCATCTCTACTTATCCCAGTTGGAGGACAGGCCACAGTTAAATGCTTCAGACTGAAGTTTGAAGGGCACTTGGCATTATCACTCATTCTGAATACATGGGATCTGAATTCATTGTGGGTTTTTGTTGTTGCTGTTTTTTTCTGTAAGCTCTTTGAATTGTGCAGGCTGATGAGACTGCAGGGTTGCTGTGTATGGGATGATTTTTGTAATAAGGCTTGAAGCCACTTCTAATGACTCAAGGTTGTTGGTAGGGGAGTGCTCGAGTATTACAAAGGATAGGAATCCAGAAGCTTAAATGAAACCAGCAAGGAGTGCCATAGTTCTTCCTCCTTTCTTCTAGAAGTGGTGTTGGATGACTATGTACAACACAATATGAGATCATTTTCTAAGCACTTCAAGCTTGATTTGCTCACTTCTGTGTTTGTCAGTTAGCTTGGTGTATACCTGCTTTAAATATGACCCACTTGTTTCTTCATACTTGACCCTGATTGCACAGAATGGGGAACCCTAGGCTCTGGCTCTGAAGGAAAGCGCTGGGTTGCGGAATGGCCATCATTAGCTCCTTCTCTAGGTTTCTTTATATTTGTGAATTAATTGCTAACCATCCCCTCCAACACCCCTGAATCATATGTATACTTTCAAAAGTGTGGTATGTCCTGGCTCTTTGATCTGAATGCCTTTGGAGGGCTTGGGAGGGGACCACAGGCTGGAGGGAAGGGCTGACAAGTGGCTCTTGAAGTCTGGGGAAGTGTGCACTGGAGAGCTCTACCACTGCCACACATCCCATAGTGGCTGAACGGCATGCTTGCTCTGGCTTTCTATGTTGCTGCAAAACACCCTCCTTGTCAGCTGACGCTGAAAAGGAGAAATAACATCTGCTGCTGCTGTCACAGCCCACGCTGCTGTTCTTCCTGAGCAGGTGGATGGAAACAGTGGCCTTGTCTCCTTTTCAGTGGGAACAGGATGTTTTCTCTGCCAAGGGCTATTTGGATATTTATAACATCATTTGCAGGCCATGCAAAATTGTCAACTTAAGAGTTAGCCTTCTGTAGATTTATTGAACTTAAAATTCACTGGTGGTTGCCTTGGCAGGGCTGAACAAGTAGTTTCAGGGACCTTCTCAGGCCTGGGGGCTGGACATTCCCCATCTCTGTTGTATTGGATTGACCAATTAGGTTTTTTTCGTTGTTGGTGGTGGTGGCAATGGAACTAGTTCTTTCTCTTGTTCTGCAGCCCTACTCAATGTAGTAATAGCAACAGGGAAATCCTGCAGGGCCTCCTGCCTTGTGTGTGCTTGTGCACTGAAACACACATGCACACGCATAGACACCTGTAGGGGCCCTGTGCATGTGAAAGGGGCAGCCAGGACTGCTTGGAGCTGAGGCTGCTAGCTCTCTCTGGAAGAATTCGTGCTAAAGATAGTCAACAAAGACACGTGGGCTATAAAACACTGTTTAGAGGCTGAGCTTCCCAGGTGGCCGATTGTGTTTCTTCTGTGCCCATCCTTGGGCCTGGTATGCAGAGTTTTTTTTTTTTTAATTTTTCTTCTCCTTGCTGAAGCAATGGAGCTAAAGTGACTCTGAAAGAACTCTGCTACTAAGAGATGCAGCGACGTGAGCAGCATGGAAATGTGGTGATGACTACAGATGAAACAACTTGGCATAGTGCTTAGAGTTTTTTTTTTTTTAAGTGCTTATATTGTCTTCCCAATGGTAAAGCGCATGCATGCCTTACCATCCCTCTTTACTTTCCCGCAAAACGGGTCACATACGTTCTTCTACACCTTGCTTGTTTCTGCTTACTGATTTGGACATCTTTGCATTTCAGCATGTTTTCATGTCTCTCACTGCTACGCGAACTCCCTATGACACTCTGGCATGGATTTACCATCATCTTTACAAACAACCTTGCTTGGCATTTACATTGATTGTACTCCTTTGCTGTTCAAAGTAATGCTGCAGTCTACCTCTGTTCACTTGTGTGACCCCGTAGAGCTCTCTCGGGAATAGTGCTGTTAAGGCGAATGTGTACATTTACAATGTTGGAATTGTGACACAGCTTCATGCTGGGAGGGATTGAGGAAAAAGTCTTCAGGGTGCATAACAGGGACTGAAGTCTGTGAGTCCCAGAGGGACTAAGAACACTCCCAGTGAGTGCAGGGTGCACCCGCTCTGTCTCCCATGTTGAAAGACATTGGAAGCCTGCACAATGTGTAAGGGGAGTGTTTACCACGCTGAAGGTACGAGCTCACAATGGTGGGAAACTTTTATTTTTTTAAGAGAATCTGAAACTCCAAATTTTCATACAAATTATTCAGATTCTTAAATGGTAACTCACATTTTAAAATGTTGTAAATGAAATGTGCCAATGGGGTACTGATGTAGAACTAACTTACAGTGAGGCCTACAACCCGTACAGCTTCTTCTTATTGTCATAGTTTCCAATATGACGGAACAGTGGGCTCCTCAGGTCTGGAGGAGGTGAGGGTGAGAAACTGGTGAGGGGTGTTTTAAGTTCGAACAACTTCCATACCTATTACTCTTGCTTATTTTCTTTTCCATAGAGAATAAAATTGATGCCAGTTTAAGTGAAATAGAAGCTTTTGCTTTGAAAGAAAATCAAATTCCATCTCCCAAAGGATAGGGAAACCTAGCTATTTTTGTATGCCACTATTTTACAGCTCAAGCACAGTATTAAGGAGATTGAACTTATTGTTTATCCTCGAGTCTCACAACAAGAAATACCTTACAACATCTCTCTCTTTCTTAAGATTTATTTTATTTATTATTATTATTATTTTGGTTGAGAAGTCAGACATAAAGAAAGAGATACAGAAAGATCTTCCATCTTCCACCCCACTCCCCAAACGGCCACAACAGCCAGAACTGAGCTGATCCGAAGCCTGGAGTCAGGAGCCTCCTCTGGGCCCCTTATGTGGGTACAGGGTCCCAAGGTCCCAGGCCATCCTCCACTGCTTTCCCAGGTGACAAGCAGGGAGCTGGATGGGAAGCCGAGCATCCGGGACACAAACTGGCACCCGTATGGGATCTTGGCAGATATAAGGTGAGGATTTAGCTACCTAGGCTATTGTGCCAAGCACACAACATTTCTTTCAGTAAACCCTCCTCAGCTAGCTGGAGGTGCTGCTGCAGAATCCCCAAATCTGTGCCCCCTGCCTGATGCACAGAAACCAAACAGCGACATTGTGTTGGTAGAAGAAAGTAGATATTAATTACGAAGCATAGGGCCAAGAGCTGGACAGCTACTGCTTAACTCCTGAACTCATCAAAGAGTTAGGGGTGAATATTCTTATCAATTGAAACTGTAAGTAACAGCGTGTGTATTTAGCTCATGTTCCAGTTCCTGGATGGTCAGTGGTGCTGGTGACCTTTCTTCTGGTTGGTGATGCTGTATTCTTCAGGGAATGTTATGGTGGCCAGGTTGGCTTCCATTGGTGTGAGGGATTTCCGTGTATTAGTTACCTTTGGCCCCAGACTTGGAATCTCTTTGCTTATACCCAGAATTCCTGTAAACAAGCCACAAGGGACAAAGTGGCCAGCAGGGCTTTTATCTATGGGTGACACAGAGGACGGCTTGAGTCGAGTAATTAGAATCACGCAGGGCCAGCTGTATCAGTGTCCCAATGCAGTGAATTGCTTTTGATAAAGGACAGGCAAGGGTAGCTTGGGCTGAGCAAGACAGATGGCAGGCAGGGCCCCTACATTATAGATATTCAGTCTCATATGATGAGAAAAATAATTTGAAAGCAATGTGCTACGTGTATCCCTCCTGCACTGAATATGAAGTTGGCAGGGGAAGAGCTGCAGACAATTAAGGCTAAATTTATGGTGTTTGAAGTTGAAAAAAAAAAGGCAAAAAGAAACCATAAAGGAGAACAAATATTAAGGCAGTGATGTGAACTGAAAGTAACTTATAACACCAGAATTTGTAAAAAGGGAACGTTATTTAAATTCCATAGACAGAATTTCACCTTCATTTGTACAAGCCTTCAAGAGCTGGTGGGGAATAAAACCAA